AATTTATGACTTTCTGACTAGGCAACTTATTCGATAGAATTTTAGCTATTTTTTGACCTCGGAAGCTTTACATCTAAGAAAAGTTTGTTCAATGCAGTGACTATTCCTGAAAGAGACCGTTTTCAATTTCTAGGAGTAATACTGAAACACCTCAAAATTAACCACTCTTTCGTCGTTTTCTTGTTTAGTACGCGATGGAAGCTTTTATAGACGACCGGGCAAAGAATCCGCGCAAACGGCAGATGTCAAAAGAGAAGCGTCTCCTTGCGAATCGCCAAGAGAGAGAAAGGGTCCGAAAAATGAACAACGCCTACGAAGAATTACGAAGCACGATTCCGAACTACGAAGAAACCCGAGTTAAAACGAAACTGGAGCTGTTGCGTATAGCTACAAACTACATCCAAACACTGAAAAAGCACCATCAAAGCATCATTAATAGCGGCTACAACTCCTCGATGAATCAACTGATGTACCCGCTGAGCCTTGAAATGGAATATCATGATAACGGAACCTCTAAACTGGGGCATCGGATTTCAGAGTATTCGTGCCCACCTTTGTCTCCAGTTGCCCCTCTTCCACCGTCCCAACTCAAACTACGTCACATCGGTGCTCACCAATCAAGCTCCAGCAGACACCAGTTTTCTAGATCGATTATGAGCCCCGTGGCAGAAAGTCCTGAAAACTCAACCCATGATTTCTACAGCCTCTAGGTGCCAGTAGTCTCAACGATTCGCATTTCGATGGGGATTTTCTTTACCATCTACAGGTAGTTATAACTAGCTCAGTGAGATAAAGACCTGAATTCAACAAATACCCATTCGTTTAGTCTGTAGCTGTAGGCATGAAAGATTTTGACCCAATGATATTCCACTAACGCATGGATGAATGGATTAATCTCGATCCCTCTTCACTGAAAAAAAAAAGACTGAAGAAAATGTTAGCGGAGTAAAGGTTGTGAAGTGTCTCTTTTCCACTTCACGGTTGTGTTTTGTTTTTGTAACATGTGATGGAAGACAGAACTATTTACTTTAAGACTTTGAGAGCAACTTGTCATTGTCACGTGATGCATTATCATTTAATGTTGCTCTAAAGTATACCGTCTGCAATTTGTTTTACAATTCAAACAAGCAGGATCTGTCCATGTCTAACTTAAAGTGGATGCGACTGAATAATAAATAACTTTTTTTAGACTTGAAAACACTAGACGTGTAATAAGCAACTGCTCTTGATTATCAACTATCGTTTGTAAACTCATTTTTCCAGAGAACACTGATGGTTTCACCCCTGAAAAATGTCAGGAACATTCATTTATCAGGCTTTGTCCTCACCTTGGTTTTTAATCAGATTTAAGACAGTGTTTTACTGTGAAACTCACAAAACCGTGAACACCATGCAGAAATACTTATGGAAAGTTATTGTCATGCGAGAAATAAGCCAATAAGGTGTGAGATAACTAAACCGCAAACAGCATCGGTAATTAGTTTGTGGTTTTGAGGTTTGCTTGCCTATCCTGAACTTTATTGTGATTGGCCAGTACACAATCAACATTCCTGAAATTTTTCAGCTGTTCACGGTTTTGTGAGTTTGACAGTAGGTTGCCCCGTTAAAAAAATTTATCTAGTTTTTCTCCAAACAGAATGCATCATCCATCCTGTACCACGCAGATAACTGAAGCTGAGTAGAGATCCTCCCTTGGAGAAGCTAGTCTTTATAATAACCAAGAAAGAATAATTATAACACTCTTTTTTGTAATAACGCAATTTAGTTTAAAATAAAAACAGTGTGAATTTCCAAGCCTGATAGATTTCAACTTGTAACTTTTTGCGTAAACATACTTCGGTAAAGTAGTTCGAAGTTAGTTCTTGCACAGTGACTCTTAATTTATTTCAATTTCCCTGATTTAGATTGTACCGATATTGTTTAATAAATTATGACTGAATTTTCAACTACAGAAAATAACTTCGAAGTTAGTTCTTGTACAGTGACTCTTAATTTATTTCAGTTTCCCTGATTTAGATTGTACCGATATTGTTTAATAAATTATGACTGAATTTTCAACTACAGAAAATAACTTTGCAGGTTTTTTCATGCGTACAAACAATGACCCCACCCCCCCCCCCCCCCCCCCCCCCCCCCCCCCCCCCCCCCCCCCCCCCCCCCCCCCCCCCCCCCCCCACCAACACCCCCAACATCCNCCCCTTGTAGGATTCAAGACCATCTGATGGAAAAAATAATCTTGAAATATGGAGCAGAACGTCGAGGATAACGTATCTGAACCAACCGGACAAGACGGATTGGACCAGACAATATTGGGTAGATTGAAATCTCCGAGTAATAAAGTAGTTAAGGTGTTACCACTTCTCTCTAACAGGCATAACGATTTTTCCAATTCCAGCAAATACGAAACATCTGTAGAAGGAGGTCTGTAAAAAACCCCAACCATTATACGAGAATATGGGTTTGAAATTACAATCTCGCACCACATAATTTCACAATCAGTTTCAAGCTCCGATCTTCTGATGCTGCTGATTTTCTGAGAACAGGCTAGCAATACTCCTCCACCACAACGTGAGCGATCTTTACGATGCACATGATTATCAACTACAGAAAATAACTTCGAAGTTAGTTCTTGCACAGTGACTCTTAATTTATTTTAGTTTCCCTGATTTAGATTGTACCGATATTGTTTAATAAATTATGACTGAATTTTCAACTACAGAAAATAACTTTGCAGGTTTTTTCATGCGTACAAACAATGACCCCCACCACCCTCTTTCACACGTAACGTTTGCAATGGTTACCAAAGCTTACTAAAATAAATAAAGGGTGCTTTGGAACTGGATCTTTCGATTGTTTGGCATAATGCTGAGTATCAATGAGAGACTAAGGTGGCTCCACCCAGTATTTTTGTGGGCACACCTTCCATCTTTGAATCTCTTATGCTTAAACAAATTTATCTTTATTGTAAAACCATTATAACACACGTATTACACATGGACTAAACTATATCATGATGTTATTTTGGGAGATCGGAATATATATCATGTGACAATTACGTCAGTTTTAGCTCTAACTCGAGTTTTAACCCCTACCAACATTTTTGGAAATGCTTTACGCTTCGTATACTTTGAGTGCTTGTCTGCTGTGGGAAGTTTGACAAAAAATCTGTAAAAGGAAAAGGTTATAAATTATGCATAAAAAAATTGTCTTCTTCTTGGCTGTTTCCGAAGAGTTTTTATCACTCATTCGTTTTGCAAATGACCCTTTTACACTCTACAAACTAGAAGTACGTGTATCGCAGAACCTCGCGAAGCTCGGGGGGAGGCCCATAAAATGTCAGGGATGGAAGGGGAAGAGAATTGGAGTAAATTGTCCAAATTTAGCCAAAAGTGGATGCGTGTGAATGATAAATAACTTTTCTCTGACAACTTGAAAACACTAGACGTGTAATAAGCAATAAATAAGTAAGTAATAAGAAAAAATTTGCTTCTTCTCGGCTGTTTCCGAAAGGTTTTTATCAATCATTCGTTTTGCAAGTGACCCTTCTAATCTAACCGCTAAAGCATGCGCGCAAGTAGACTTGCGCAATTTCAAAAGACGTAAAAAACATGTGAATCAGGGTAAAAACCAATGCTGTAGTTCTTTGTGTAATTTTTAAGGCTACTTTCACGAAAACATCGATTAAACCAAAATTTTTTGATAGCCTTTCTTTAGAAGTTTTCAGTGCTGCAATCCATCAGAAGAGAGAATGAGCTAAGAGACCGAATCCCTGTGCCTTATGATAATTATTTGAAATCTATTCAAAGTTCGCGCGTTTCTGGCGAAGGTTATTTTTGTCTGTTTCCGTGACCTGCGTGGTCTATTTCAGGTAAACGTGACATCTTTTGCCGCCAATTGAAGTTTGACAGCTGTTATAGCAAAGGTTTAAGTGGTTGACATGTTTTTTATTACCGGGTTCAGCTCATTGATATTTAGGAATGAATTTCATTTAGAAAGAATTGCAGTATTGGAGTCAAAATTTCACTTTGAGATAAAAGATTGAGACTTTCTGAATACTGACACACCGTGAAAACCAAAGGCAAAAAATCTTTAAAAAGCGACTGGCTTCAAGTTGTTTGTCCAAATGTGTAAGATATTTTTTCGCCATTTCCAGGAATATTTCTCGTTCAGAAACAGGACACTTGCTTTTAAGAATTATTGTTGAGAGTTTCAAACTGCATTTGGTCTTTCTTTTTCCTTAGCTGTGCGAACAGCTAACGTGGATTCCAGAGACTTTTCTGCGAGGTTTCCGGTTTCGAGAAAATTCTTGACAGTGAGAGGTGTGCCTACATTGTGCTTGAATATGTCTAACGCCCTCTCAAAATTCAAATGTTGGCGGCCAAACATGTCATGTTTGAACCCACTTAGAACCTCTTTTCTCGTGGCGTGTCCACGTTGGATCCAAACAAAGGCATCACAGCTCGCAGGTTTGTGTGGACGTCGCCGGAAAAGACACTTATTGTTTATGACTTTATGAGGTTGTTTCGTTTATATACTGATGTAGCGGTGACTATAATGAGCAATTTTCGTCGGGTCGACCCGCTTTCTCCGGTGACTCACGCAAGCCAGGACTGTTTTGCTCGTCGGATAATGAGTCCTTAGTATAAAAACTGCCATTGACTATAATTGACGTGTGATGTCATTATCATGTGACATTTATTCCAATCTGCCAAAAACTGATATCAAACTAAAGTTTAGCCTATGTGTAATAGATGTGTTCTATAATCAATTTGTGTAGGTAATAGAATGATTTGTAGTGATATTTGGCATAAATACCACGAGTGATATTTCGAAATTGTTATACGTAATTTCACGAGCCGTTAGGCGAGTGAAATTTGAGACAATTTTGAAATATCACAAGTGGTATTTATGCCAAATATCATTACAAATCATGCTATTATTTGTTTATACTACTGCCCTCAAAAGGTTTGTTATTTTCACATGTAGGTATTTCAAATTCAACTGAAATACCACTGCTCTAAGCCAATCAAATTGCAGACATTTCTCATGCAGTAGTATAAATTTTTATATAAGAGATTCAAGGATGGACGGTGTGCCTCAGAAATACTGGGTCCAGCCACTGCCACTAAGTCACTCAAATTCTCCAACACTAGAGCATGATTTTGTAACGCCTTTAATTACGAAAGCTATATATGATTTTCTTATTAACTAATATCTAGCCTTCCGCAATAAGAAAACGCCTTTTATCAAAGCAAACTTGAACATTACAAAAAGATATTTTTACCTAAGAAAACATTCGGTGGTTGACCAACTGTATATTTTGCAAAATACCCCGAGTTGAAGACTTTCATGAGATCGAAAATATAAAAGCGTACCCTGCAAAAGGAGCTGAAGAGGATCAGTGAAACTCGCATTGAGGCTGAAGACCTATGGACTTTAATGGTCTTAAGTTTGATTACGTAGCCTCTATTTCTATCTTCTAGCTGTGTAGCTTAGATATGCCAGTATTGTATCTGTTTGCCGTACTACAACTCTACTAATAAGCAAGTAATTGGCCAGAATCGAAGAAGGAGGGCAAAAGTAAAATAATCTCAATTAATATCTAGGCTACAAAATATAGCCTGCCGAAAACGTTCTAATGTGCGGGCTCAATTTCCATCAAAAGTTGAGGAAAATCTCCCGTCTAAATTTCACAAGCATAGCTCAATTA